TCCCATCTTCTTCTACTTGGATTTGCTGTTGCTACTCTTGATTTGTCACTTATGGGGTTAGGGCCGAGGGAAGGACCAGGCAGAGCAGGTGCGAAGTAGACAGACTGGGATCGGAACCAGCAGTGGGGGCAGGGTAGTGCTGAGCTTCATAAGGTAGAAACAGACCTAGGTGCACATGCTAAAAAAAAACAAAACACTCTGATAGTACAAAAGGCTATACATTAAAATTAGTCTTCTTCCCACTTCATAGCCTCAGTCTCTGCAGTCACACTCATTAGAATCAGGCAGATGTAAGATAGGTGTCCCCCTAGAGCATCTCCCTTTGTTTCTTACCTACAGTTGTGGCTCATTGTATTCCCCCCAATCCCCACCTTTTTTTTTTTTTTTTTTTTTTCCTTCTTTTTTTCTTTAATGGAGTGATTTATACTGAGGGTACAGGGGGAGATGGAGATGTAGCATATCCTTCCCAGGTGCTGCTCAGTGTTCCATGATCCTAATAACAGGCCAAAGCTAACCTGTCTTTTTTTTTTTTTTAAGATTTTATTTATTTATTTGACAGAGACACACAGAGAGAGGGAACACAAGCAGGGGGAGTGGGAGAGGGAGAAGCAGGCTTCCCGCAGAGCAGGGAGCCCGATGTGGGGCTCAATCCCAGGATCCTGGGACCATGACCTGAGCCGAAGGCAGACGCTTAACAACTGAGCCACCCAGGCACCCCCAAAGCTAACCTGTCTTAAAATGATCTGGAGGCTGGGGCACCTGACTGGCTCATCTAGAAGAGCGTGTGACTCTTGACCTCAGGATCGTGAGGTCAAGCACCACACTGGGCACAGAGATTATTTAAATAAATAAAATTTAGGGGCGGGGGAAAGATGATCCAGAGGTTCCACATTTCTTTGAACAGAAGAAATAGCTGAGATCACTTTAAGGTGGCTTGTTTGAGTAGGACACATGTTCATAGAACAAATTCTTTATTCCACAAAGCATGGTAAAATATTTAGAATTTGGGGTAAATTAAGTTTTGAAACTAGGGGCTCTTGTAAACTTTGACAACGAGGTAAAACTTCAAAAGTCCCATCTTCTTCTACTTGGATTTGCTGTTGCTACTCTTGATTTGTCACTTATGGGGTTAGGGCCGAGGGAAGGACCAGGCAGAGCAGGTGTGAAGTAGACAGACTGGGATCGGAACCAGCAGTGGGGGCAGGGTAGTGCTGAGCTTCATAAGGTAGAAACAGACCTACCCCCTCAAGGAAAAAAACAGAGGTGTTTCCCACAAAAAATTTAAATATCCTAATTTCTTTTATGGGGATTTCTTCCAAGCCATGTCAGAGCACATATTTGTGTCTTATGAGATTCCAAAGGTAGAATTATAAGTAAACTCCGGTCCATATAATGAATAAGTGAGTAGGTTTTGGGTTTCGTGAGACTAAGATAAATGTGGTCTAATTGAGCAGTACCAGTTGATACATGTGCGATACTGTATGCCATTGTCATTTATGTCATTCAGCCTTTCTGTGAGACACTTTTTCCATTTTATAAAACATACAGAGAATTCTGGCACTTTAAAAATGTTTAACCCGAATCTGTTTTTTTTTAATTAATTAATTAATTTTTAAAGATTTTATTTATTCATTTGAGACACAGAGATACAGAGAGAGAAAGCATGAGCAGGGAGAGAGGCAGAGGGAGAAGCAGGCTCCTCGCTGAGCCAGGAGCCTGATGTGGGGCTCGATGTGGGGCTCGATCCCACGACCCTGGGATCATGACCTGAGCCAAAGGCAGATGCTCAACTGTCTGAGCCACCCAGGCACCCCCCGAATCTCTGTTTTAGATCTAACATGCCGGTTATCGTAAACTTAAGGAATAGAGAAACAAGCTAAGCCCCGTCTGGAAGAAGCTATCAGATGCACTCAGGAGGCAGGTATTCTACTAATCAACTGATCCCTAGTCTCCAAGGAGTCAGTAGCATGAGAAAAGGGAATGTTGTAGATTAAGAGCGTAGGGACATAAAAAACAGGGGTGATGCGTGGTCCTGCTATTGGAACCTGGTTTACTTATTTATTTTTTTAAAAGAGATTTTAAAGTAATCTCTACACCCAACATGCGCCTCGAACTCAAACCCCGAGAGCAAGAGTCGCATGCTCTACTGAGTGAGCCAGCCGGGTGCCCCTGGGGTCCACTTTGACGAACAACTATAAAGAACATTTTTGACAATTTGAGAAATTTGAATTCTAACTGGGAATTGTAATTAGGGCATATAATTATGTAATTTAATTTGGTTCAACGAGAAAATGTTATTTTGACTATAAAAAAATGTTCTTATTTTAAAAAGATGTAGCCCGAAGTTAAAAAACAAACTGTGTCGTCACCCACCCCCGCCAAACTTTGAGTTCTTAAAATGAAGGTTACCAGATCAGGGTAGGGTACGGGGCTGTGCTACATTTTTATTTTCCTTCTGGTCAAAACCAAGTGCCATCATTGACAATGGTGTGGGGGGAGGGGGAGGTGTGTGGGGAGGAAATAACAGCAAATCAAAATATTTACAGCCATGCACGTCTTTCTCGAGTTGCTTCTTTGTGGGCAATGAGTTCTTGTATGAAGTTTTGCACCATCAGTCGAGAGGTGCCTGTGTTATGTAAAGCCCCGGGTTCTTGCATCACAGTACTTAAGCCTCCTTACCCACATCCTGTCACATTCAGCTGCAGATGTGGGAAGCGGCTCCAAGCTGCACGAAAGGCCTACCCTGGTATACTGTACGTCAAGATGAATGGCAAAGACTCTGGGCTGGGAGGCAAGACAGATGTAAATCCAGTGGGTCCCTGGGCTGGCTGGTTTGGATTGCCCTTGTGGCTCCCACAGTTATAGGTCCCTGTAGTGCCCCCCCTCCCCCAAGCTGGGCCTCTGCCAGAAACTCAGGAACAGCTCCCGTTGGGGCTCTTTAAGCTCATCTCCGTCAGTCCTGCTATCACTCAAGCCTGGCACCAGGGAGCCCTGCTGGGTCTGGCTGATTCTGAAGGCCATGTCCTTCTACACATCCGATCTGCTGCTTTGCTGAATGGGCTAGGAGGGCGGGAAGGGGGAAGGGATGTCTGAGGGTGCCAGGCCGTGAGTGTTAACTGAGTATTTTAATGTTGCTGGGGAGCTCTCTGAGCAGACACCACAATGCCCATCTGTCCATTAGCAGTAGGCTATGGATTAGAAGTGGTAGAAAGGATATCTTTAAATAGATTTCTTTTTTTGTTTGTTTGGTTTCAGGCCTAGTGATTGAGGTCACTCTGGGAGAAGCTTCAGAAGTACCAGGAAGCTCTGGTTAGAAGCTTTGGATTTTACATTTCACAACCATTATCCTCCCTCCCACTTCAATGGAGGAAAGAAAAGTTAGGTGGGTGGGGTAGGGGAACGAGGAACAAAAGCCCTCAGTCTAGGAAACTCAGAATAGAAAACATTACAACACACATTTTATACGCCCGAACTCTTGGGGGGAGGGTTCGGCTGAGCACAGCTCACCTTCAACAGGGAATCCTTGGTGCGCATCACGCCAGAAATCATCCTGGATCCCTGTTACCTTTGAACCCACTCACTTGCAGATAAGAAAAAAAAAAGGCAGGAGCTCAGACCTGGTTTCTGTTCCGTGGAAGGACTGGCCTTATCCAAAGTCTTGGCTTTATGTCCTAGCTCTGGCACTTGCTGGCTGTGGTGTTTTAAACATTTCTCCCTGGGGCTCAGCAACTTGCAAAGATGGCTGAGATCAGGGCATCGGACCTCAGACTTTGATGGGAGCAGTTCTGGGGTGAGAAGACAAGAGGAAAGGAGAGAGAGAGTCATGTGGAGTTTCTTCCAGGTCTACAATCCCCCCCCCAAATTGCTGATAGTCATATTTAAAAATTAATAAACTTATAATATTGATAATTTATTGCTTCTTTGTAATTCATTCTTTTAAAAGTTAAAAAATTTGCAAGTCATCCTTTGTTATTCTGTTAACAATGTGGCATTAGCATCCAGTGGAAGCAGAGCCCAGGGCTCCTCCTTGATACCCCAGGCTGGGGGTGGGGGCAGGGTGGGGATAGGGCGGGGTGGGTAATTTTGCCTCCCAGCCTTACATCACTGTTTACCAATTCTTTCCTCCCTGCCTCATCACTTAAGTGCCCATAAAAATGGCATCTCCCTATAGTGACGGTACATCGATCGAGTAATGACATTGTTACCTTCAGCTCCTGGGTTGGGGAGGTGTCATTGTTTTGCCTCTCTTTTTGCAATCTCGGGCTTCTTCCGGACTTTCGCGGAAAAGAACCTGGTTAAGTCCTGCCACCTGCTGGCCAAAGTGTATATAACTAAGGAGTTGTGACAAGGAAAATGTTAAAACCTGAGGTTTGCAGGGCAATGCGCTGTGATGTCACGGGGTTGCTGCTTTTCATAGTATTCTGTTAGCAACCTATAAGGCAAAGAAGGAACCCACAACTGACCTTCAGAGAAAAATAACTTTAGAAATAGCTGTTTAAATCAAAGTTTTTAAGTTTTTTTGTTGAAATAATTTGAGATTTACAGAAAAGTTGTAACATAGTACAGAAAGTTCCATTCACCCTTTACCCAGCCTCCCTTAATTTTAACAGCCTACATAACCATAGTGCCATTATTGAAACTAGAGAATTAACATCAATGTGATACTTTTAGCTACATTACAGACCTAATTTGATTTTGAACATTTTCGTTCGAAAGTTTTTTCTTTTTTTTTTTAATTTATTTATTTGACGGAGACACAGCGAGAGAGGGAACACAAGCAGGGGCAGTGGGAGAGGGAGAAGCACACTCCCCGCCGAGCAAGGAGCCCGATGTACGGATGGATCCCAGGACCCTGGGATCATGACCTGAGCAGAAGGCAGACGCCCAACGACTGAGCCACCCAGGCGCCCCTTGAATGTTCTTTTTCTTGTCCAGGATCCAATTCAGGACCTCATGTTGTCACATCTCTCTCTCTCTCTTTTTTT